CTTCTCAATGTTGCCCATAGCTTGTCATAACCACACAATCGAAAGCCTTTGTGTAGTCAATAAAGCATAGGTAAACATCTTTCTGATATTCTCTGCTTTCAGCCAAGATCCACCGGACATCAGTAATGATATCTCTCGTTCCACAGCCTCTTCTGAATCCAGCTTGAACCTCTGTAAGTTCTCTGTCAATGTATGATTGTAGCCGTTTCTGTATGACCTTTAGCAAAACTTTACTCGCTTGAGATATCAAAGAGATCGTCCAATGATTTCAAAAATGGGGGGACTAAAAAGGTATGAAGTGGCTGGCTTACAAGTTTTTAATAGTGTGCTTAGTTTCAGAATGGGGGATAAGGCAGAATCTCAACTGAATACTTTTCTTTTTCTGATGGGTCTGGTGAAAGGGGGTGGGGAATGCTGCTAATAGGATTTTATCATTCAATTGTAAGTGTCAACAGGATTAATTGTGATTGTCAAAACTGAAATTGTAGAAATGTGTAACTAAAAGGTGGGAACAGTTAATCTTTCATTTCAGGAACAGAGGATCCCAGGATCATCAAGAAGGAAGAGCATGAATGGAACAGGAGATCCCTACCTACAAAAGCAACAACATCAGAGACTGTGGCATGGAGAAGCAGAGCAGCTGAGGGCTCTGGGCCCATAGAATGAGTAAGGCTGTGTACCTGAGGACAGGAGGCTGGCTTACAGAATGTGACCTTTGGACATTTAAATTAATATATATTTTTTGTATGTGTGCATCAAAAGTTTTGCTTTGTTCATTTGTGAAATATTAGATGCAATTGGGGTATCACAGGGAGGAAGTAGGATACTGTTGTTTCAAGGAAGGGATTGTAATCATTGAGATGGAACAAACTGTATGATTTGTTGAATGTAAAACTAATGATCTTGCCTATAAACCTTCACTCAATTCACAATAAAAAGTTTAAAATAAATAAAAGGCAAGCAAGCAGGTCTGGAACTTAATAAAAGTTACATATTTGCCTACCCATGCAGATCCAAATCAGGTTATTTTAAGGCCTCACCTGGCTGTTTCCTTCCACTCAGCATCTTCTCCCTCTTTCATACAGATCTCATCCAGCTCTGTGAACAGCTCATGAGGCACATGCTCTTCATCTTCCTCAGTGCCAAGAATGAACTGGACACGCTGAGATGGTGTGTCTAGAAAATCAACCACAGAGAAAAGTCTGCCTCTGGCCTCAAACTTAGAACAGAAATAGACTTCTGCCTCATTTTAGCACATCTTTGTGGCTTAATAACTTCAGGAATGCACTGAAGACAATTCTGACTAGAGATCAAAAATTTTACTTTGTTCTCAGAAAGAAACTATTGTGTGGAAGCAGTTTCATGATAGGAAATATTCATGAACAGAAGCCATTTTCAAAAAACCCATAAAAACTGAAAACCAGACTAATTTGATCAAAAGGAATGATTAATTCTACAGCAAATATTTTCACCTACTGTGGAACTGATTTGGTAGAGGCCTGAACTGTGAAGTTTTCAGAAATATGAGAGAGTTCAAAAATGAAATACAATAACTTCAAAAAGTTCATGGATAAATAGAATAGAAAAGACAATGGAATTTTTCTATGAACTTTTTGAAGCCCTTTCATATATGTTTGATTCTTAGAGGTATTTCTTCTTCTTGGAAACAAGCTCTGAGAACCCTACAGAAGGACTAGAGAATGCTGCTTGATTTCGTACAGCATCACCAAATCTCCTAGCCATAAACACCCACCCTCTCTCCCAAGCGTATTACCGTGTGCCAGAGCCTCCTGGCCTTCCTCCCCTTGGCTGACACCTTTGGCTCGCCCTCGTCTCCGGTGCTTCTGGCCATGAGTTCGGTGGTGTCGATGGCTCTGCCGGCCCAGTGGCATCCGAACCCCCACATACAGAGTCCTATGGCCTGCAAAGAAGCAGAAAGTCTATGGAGGGAAGCCTTAGTAAAAGGAGCCTAGCATATTCAAGAGAAAAGCAAAGAACACAGTTCTTGGGCCTAATCATACCTCTGCAATGACCAAACTTCAAAGATTTGCAGAACTGAAAATGTAGAGACTACAGAGTTAAGGGTTTCTTCATTCATCCTGCATGTGGCTACAAACCTCACGGTCATGTTGTAAAGATAAAGGAAATAGTATGTATGAAAGTGATTTGTAAACTGTAAAGGTCAATAGAGATGCTAGTTAATGATTGAGTGGTTTTTAAAAAGCAATCAGTCACTCTACGCCAATTGCAGCAAGTCTTGGCAGGGATGTAATTTAGAAAAGGGCTAAGAGTGCCGTGTTAGAGACAGCCTGTCTGGTCCAAAACTCAACTCCATCATTTGCGAGCCAAGTGACCATTAACAAGCTACATAATATCTTAAACTCGGGGTTTTCATGAGCAGTAAATAAGATAACGTACGTAAAATTATTAGCACAGTGCCTGAAATAAATGTTAACCAGTGCAGTTTTAAAATTTGCTTCCGTAATTTATTTCTGCATTGTGGAATACAATCTAGAATAGTAGTGAGACACTAGCTACAAATCACAAGGAGTATGAGGCTAGGATTCAAATGAGAGCTAGTGAATGTCATACAAAGAGAGGGGAACTTCAGAAAAGTAATCCCATAAAATTTCCTGCTTTGTTCCTCTTCTCCTACTCCCTCATTCCTTCCATATACTTGCTCTGTTCTTTTGTTCATGACTTCCAGGCCTCTTGTCGCCTCCCTCTGACTTCATAGGCTGTCCTGTCAAGCTTGGAGCCTAGAATCACTAACTTCAGGGATGCTCTCCTCAATACCAGCCCCACCTCCCTGGTCTTCTCTCATTTCTGCCTGCTCAGCAATCTAGATCTTCCACACAGCTTCTACTACAGAAGATGTTCCTGTCTTTAGCCATGGTCTTCAAATTCACAGCCTTATCTACGTTCTATGCCCTCTGAGCAGGTGACTTTGCTTCATATTTTACTGAAAAGACTTCAGCCATCTCATGTGAACTCCCTACAGCTTAAGCCGCTCCCTTTCCTCCCCAACTTCTCCTCTTTGCCATGTGAATGACTAAAACTCTTGATCCCATCTGGAGTCTCACAGCATCAGTTACCCACAGTTTCTCCTTTCCAGTCATCCTTTACACACGTTTCTCCTGACTACAAATCTCTCTTGCCTTCAAAGTAAGCCTTCCCAGTGCAGTGATACTTGCCCAAGCTTCTGCCCTTGTTTTCTTCTCTTCTTCATCCAAACACTTTCAAGAACAGTCTACCCAATCTGGCTCCCTTTTCTCAACCACCTCCTTGCTCTGAATGTGACTTCTCACCTCATTATCTACCGAAACTGCTGTCCCAAAAGACACCAGAGACCATGTAATCACCAGCCTCTCTCATCTGACATCTTTCTCAGTTCCATTCAAAAGAGTTTCTTGAGAGCCCAAAGTGTGCGTCAAGTTGGAAGACAAATTTCCAAAGTCTTCACCACTTTCTTTTTCTTGAAGCTCTGGGCTCCCCTAGCTCCTGTGACACTGTCATCTCCTGGTTCACTTGCCCTCCTCGGTCTTTTCAATCCCTTCAATTCACCAAAGTGAGGCTCCCCAGGTGTCTGTCCTTGCCTCACTTTTCTTTTAGTAGTATCTACTTTCCTGATTTCAAAGTTCCTGTCTACAAATGACCTCCAAATTTTTATCCCTGTGATTCAACATTCCCCAAAGCAACTCTTCATCTTCATTCTCTAATTGGGATAAATTTCTTTGCCATTTCTGCTCATAGCATCAGTATGCTCTCAACTTTCAGGACCTAAAACCTCAAACTCGGATTTACAACTCTACTCCTCTCACAGTGCCACAACCCCCAAATTGCCACATCCCATAAATTAGGGATGCTAAGTCTTTCTCTCCTCCTACTTTGACAACAGAGTCCTGGTATGGCACTGTGTGTTAATGTACTGGACTGCAAAGTCGGTTTGAACTGCCAGGTCGGTGGTGCAAGCTCACCAGCTGTTCCTTGGAAACCCTATACAGGGTCACTATGGGTCAGAACTGACTCGATGGCACTTAACAACAACATCAACAAACTTTGACAATAACAAGGACCTCTTTTCTGCTTCCAACACCAATTCAACCACATAAACCAGTGCTCGTGTATGAAGCACTGCTCTATGGTTCACCCACTATGCACGCATTCAGGACCCTTCGGGCTTGCATGCTGTGTGTTCCCACACCTCACTCTTTCCTAGTCTTTTTTTTTCTTTAGGGAAAATTATACCACCAGTGGGAATGTCAAAAGGAAGGGCCTCTACAAGAACTGAGTTCTCAGCTCAAGAGACACAAATGTGGAACTCCCACATGCTCGCTCACACAGAATAAACATTCTGGGAGGAAAAAAATCTAGACAGGTAAAGCTAAAAAAAAAAAGGGGGGGGGGGGCTTGTTTTGACTTCATCTACTCCTCAATGGCCTTGGCTGCTGCAGCCACCATCAACTCAAATTCTCTTTCTACCTAAGCCAAACTATTGTACAAATGTGCCAAGGCTCTCTGGACATTGACTTGGTTCACTCCTCCAACATTCACTGCAATTTGTACCTTCTTCTTGTATTATTTCTGTTCTCTTGAGTTAGATGTTTTGCTTCCTCCTTCTAAATACCTAGAGCCTCTGGCTCTTAGGTACTTATTTTATGACTGCAGTTAACCAGATGTCTGTTGTTTCCTTCATTATTCATCTGCAAGTTCCTTAAGGTCCTGGGTCAGACTTTCTTCCTCACTGAATTTCTCACAACCAAGCATATGCTATTGCTCCACAAATGTTCAACTAACAGACTATTTGCTAAGCACCTCCCCAGGAATATAACTCCTTGGATCTCTTCATGAGTACACAACTGAACTTAATAACGCCTCGCATCTCAAAGAGGAACATGTAGCCAAAGTGAATATGTTTATTGCTGTTAAATGCCCTCAAGTCAGTTCAGAGTCATAGTGACCCTCTGTAGGGTTTCTGAGGAGTGGCTGGTGGGTTTGAACTGCTGTCCAGTGCTTATTCTACAGTGTCACACCAGGCTAGATGAAATTCCTACAAGAACATGAGGAGGTTGAGAAGGTCTCAACTTGAAAACAGAAAGTTTAATCCAAGAGGACTTCCCAGAAAAGGAGACTTTAAGAGTTCTCAAACTCCAATAATTGGGTTTCCTGAGGCTTCTTTGGGGATTCCTTAATAATGCTCCCCATTTCCAAGAAGAATGTTTTGGGCCCTTTCCTATCCTCCAAATTCCAAAATTATAGGGGGAAAAAACCCATGAAGACTAGAGGAAAACATGTTCAGAAATGTGTTAGAGGAAGAAGAATAAAACATATAATATCTAGTGTCTGTTAAAACATAACCTCTTATCCTCATTCTATTTTAGGACTGTCGTATGTTGGCTTGGCCACATCTCTGAACATGTTTAACAGGCAGATCGCTGAACATAACGTTCTTGCAACTTCATAAAAACAGAACTATAGAGTCTGTTTAGATATGGGATTGCAAACTTCTGACATTATCATTGTAACTGTAAAGTACAAGAAGTATGAAAAGGACTAAACTGGATACCATCTTAATAAACCTCCATTTGTTAATGAATAATGTTCCACTATAATATGTTAATGAGGTCCCTGTAGTACTAAGATCAACCCAAGGAAAACATTAGCAGCAGACTGTTGTTGTTGTTGTTAAGTGCCATCGAGTCGGGTCCGACCCATAGCGACCCTGTACAGGGTTTCCGAGGCAGACTAGAGCCACTTAATTGTCCCAGATCCTGTTCCAAAGGCTAGGGTAGAGTAATGAACACCATACAATTCCTATCCTCATTGACACTTACTCTAGTTAGGGGGAAAGAGCCATCATGAAAACAATTACTTCAAATAGTGACAACTACTATAAATAAATGAGATAAAAGTCCAGAGTGTCTGTAGCAGGAGAGAGGATGAAAAAGTATGATGTTATGGATCAATTTCATATGGCCTTTCTGCTGTAGTATTATTGTGGAGTATCATGAGGAGTCCGTTCTGACTTATAGTAACCCTGGCACAGGGTTTCCGAGGCTATAAATCTTTACGAGAGCAGAAAGCCTCATCTTTCTCCCGTAGAATGACTGGTAGTTTCGAACTCCTGACCTTGAAGATAGCAGCCTGATTTATAACCACTAAGCTACCAGAGCTCCTTGTAGCTTCCATCAAATAATTGGATTAGACCATGTGAATAAGGTACTTACGTCCTATCAAGGGCTTGAACGACTTGCTAATAGTGCAAATAAGGTGCCTGGTACCTTGTGGGATTGGGACCACACATATAAAGTGTAGGGCACCCTAATAAGGGGACTGGTCAGTTTTGCCATTCCATTAGGCTTAAAATGAGCCATTCCAGAGGCAGAAAGAAGGGAGTTCACTACCAGCAAGAGTCAAGACTTCCCTTGCTTCTTGGGTAAGTGCCCCTGTGAGAGACTGTATACAGCTGGAAAGAGACTTTGATTCTCTAAAAAGGTGCTGTGGGGGGGGGGAGATAGACAGGTATCAGACATATCTAGAAACAGAATCTTTGATGTGGTGAAATCCATGTGAACTTGTTCACTACAGATTAGTAAGTAACCTCAAGTATGCTTACCATGCTTATTGGGTAATACAACAAGGTTTTGATAGGTCTACAAGAAATAAGGACAAACTTAAAGATGAGAAAAGTAGGACTCAGTTGTTTTGTTGGTTTATTCAATTCTCACAAACAATAATTAATCACGGTGCTTGCCTTTCAGAAACACCAGAGAGACAGGTAGAAATAAAAACAAGTTCTAGCAGGGCTCACAGGTAAGAAAGGCCATCAGAGAATTAGGCATTAGTTTCTAGGCTAGGGACTCAGAAGCCAGGGTTTAGATTTTCTGAGTGGAATGAACCAAAAAATTTGAAGAACAAATG